GGTCTCGAACCCGCGGGCTCAGGCAATCCACTCACTTCAGCCTCCCAAAGCGCTGGGATTACAGGCTGAGCCACCGAGCCCGGCAGCAATGTCTTTCTAACATAACATGACATTAAGCCACAATTAGTGTTTACACAATGACCTTAACTTAAGTTCTAAGGTTCTCTGCCTCCCCTCATACTGTCTTGTGATTTTAAACATTACACAATAACAGTGAGTACAAACATTAAGGGAAAAAAACCACATCCTAATTAAGTTTATTACTTCGGCTATTAAGGTTAAATTGCATGTAGTCTTTTGGGTCTTTGAGTCACCTTATGAAAGCCAGGAAGGATTCTAGTTTGAAGTGAAATAATTCCAAAAAGCACTGTACCCCTAGATATTCTGCTGGAATACGGTAAAGACCTCTGCCATCTGTTAGTGCACTCACTTAATATCTTTTGCCCCACAAACACTTGCAACATCCTTTTAGATATCTGTTTTTTTCTTTTCCTGGGATGAAATCCCATAAGTCATTTTTCTCAGGGGATTGTAAAGCTCCTTACAAACAACCGGTCTGATTTTACCTCTAATTCTTTTATTTCAAGTATTTGAGTTGGTGAGCACTTTTAGAGAATCTAGAGAAAGAAGATTTCTATTAAGTCTGGCCCAAAAAGTTTTAAAACAAATTGTCAGTAACTTAAATGCCTATTATCAGTTCTACATTTAAAGATATTAAGTATAAGGCTGGGCATGGTGGCTCAGTCTGTAATCCCAGCTCTTTGGGAGGCCGAGGCAAGAGGATTGCCTGAGCCCACAGGTTCAAGACTAGCTTGGGCAAATTGGTGACACTTCATCTCTACAATAAATCACAAAAACTAGCCGGGCATGGTGGCATGCGTCTGTAGTTCCAGCTACTTGGAAGACTGAGGTGGAAGAATCGCCTAAGCCCAGCAAGTCGAGACTGTGGTGGCTGTGAACATACCACTGCACTCCTGCCTGGGCAATGAGTGAGACTCCAACTTAAAAAAAAAAAAAAAGATATTAAGTATAAAGTTTACAAGTCTAGAAAACAAATCAGAAGCCAGGAGTAGGGAGAGCCATTTTTAATGACAAAGTGCTAAGAGGGTACACAGAAGAGGAGACTCTTTTTCTCCCTAACTTTTTATCTCTTGTGGATCATCTGTTTCCATTCCCAGGTCCCAGAAAACATTCTAAGACCCAAGAAAAGATTTACCAGGGAAGGATTCCAGGCATCACTGCTAATGCACCGACTTACATAAGAAATAGAAATAAGCTGAAGAAATAAGAAATGCGTTACCCAATCTAATTTAACCAAAATCTAATTTAGAAATTCAGAAATGAAAAGACACACTACACATAATTTATTATAAGGAAGTAGTATTTTTCTTTTAAATTCTTAAATGTTTGACATAACCAGCAAAATAGAAGTGCATTATTAAGTTAGTCTTAACAGCAATATTGTTTTGTCAAGGGGTACCATGAAACTTTATAAATTAAAAAAATTTAACTGTTTATTTCTAGTTAGTTACATTTATTATCACTAGTAATGAAATGACTAATTAGAAAACGATGCACTCAAAAGAAACAGAAGAAAAAATAAATAATAAAAAAATTTTAAAAAAAGAAACAGAAGGAGCCAAAGCGACCCCAAAATAACAGCTATTTTCCAAAGCCTTCTACACAGAACTAACCAGTCAAATCTGCTACACCTTTCCCTCTCTAAAAATGACATGGTGGGTGTTGATGAGTTCTACTTTTTGACTCAAAGATCATATTCATTATTTAAATATGCAGTGTGAAATCTTCCCTTTTAATTCTGTACATTCTCAGATCTGACATGAAATAGCAGTTCAAGACCTCTTGTTGACTCTTTTCAACACTGAGTCTCTACATCACTCACAGCCCCTAAGCAACAGATTAAAAGCAGCCTCACTGGTTATTAAAATCAATTGAGATTAAAAAACAGACAGGGAAACTATTTGAAACAATAAAACTATCAAGAGATGATGAAAACCAAGCAGTTCACTGCCGTATTTAGTAGAACATGAAATAGAATGAAACACCCACCTGGAACTGGAGAAAGAAGGAAACTGACTATCAGAAGAAGCCCTTGCAACATGGTGGGTGACTTCAGAAGCACAGCACCTGCCTGTCTAGCTCAGACCTGTGCTGCTGGGTCTGTCCCTGCCTCCTCTCAAGTGAGACAGAATGAAACTCCCTGGTTCATTCTTGTGTGCTTCAGGAAGTGTTTACTAAAGGTGTTGCACAACCTCGGAGCTGTGGTCCTGTAACAATGGCACAGCAGGGCGGAAGTCCAGGCTGCCTCCTTGCTCTTCTGATTTCTTGATCATAAACTATTGTTTCTGTCTTCTTCTCCATGCTCCTCACTCCAAAGTAGTGCGTTTCCAATATATTACTACAGCCCGATAAGCCACAAGAAAGTAACTGCTTTGATGAATCTTGAAAAATGTGCCATTTTCATCATAGATATAATATGTGCGTATAATGTACATTAGATATACTTAAATATGTTTTATGTGTATATATTTTGCTGTGTTGGCAAAAAGTTATTAAGAATGCTATTCTTCCCTCTCATACATAAGGTGGTTCTGTGGCACAATTTCTAATACAATCTATTCGCTTTGTTAAATTCTCTTTTTCAATGATCTTGTGTTCTTTTCTCACACAATGGTGCTTTCAGGGACTTGAACAATCCTGAAATAAAAATGTATGACAGTACAAGCACATGGTTTTTCAGATCTTCAGGGAAATTTGTATCATAACTGAAAACCAGGAGGCGGGAAAAAGTCTTCAAAACTTAAAGGATGAATTTTCAGAGAGATTCCAGGACCTGCCATGGGTGGAAATGAGGTTCAAATGGGCATGTCTAGAAATCATACTGTATAACTAATAAAATAACTAATATGAATTGGACTGTTTAATAAGTTCCAGGTGCTCTCTTAAGTTCATTATACTTGCTATTATGTTGTTATATTAATCCTTATGACACTTTTATATTATAAATACAATTTTACCCCTATTTTGTAGGTTAGAAAATGGGATTTAAAAAAATAAAAGAATTTAAAAAATTAAGATTCAGTTGTTCCCATTGTATAGATTAGGAAGATTAGGCAGATGAAGTCCCCTATCTAGTAAGTGGTAGAAGTGTTTAGCTAGGTGTTGTCTGAGATTTTAGAAATATTCTCTAATGCTTCCCTATTGCTTAGTTAACTTACAAATAAGTTTGTCTTATTTCTCCCAGTCTTGTTTCTATTGATAAGATTCCTATGAAATAAAAATAACTATGGGATTCCTGTGGAATAGAAATAACACTGAAGACCAGTTATTACTACAAACCCCATTCCTGGTCCACCAAAATTATGCATCATTTATATATTTTTAAGCACATTCTAATACTCAAGTGATGTTGGTGAAAAGTGATGTCACTAAATAATTGTAAAGGCATCAACTAACAACCACCAGGGCATTTTGGAATCCAGTTATTGAAAATTTCAGCTATCAGGATGGAGCATCTTACAGGTTTTTTGCCTCTTTGACCCAAGTTCTATGGCTTTATCCTTTCCAGGTAGCAGAAAAGATACTTGTATTTTTTAATTATTACATGTTTTTCCCTCCACTAGTTCAATATATATCTATTAGTATATCTATTATGTATCAGACACTAAGATAAAGTTGAAAAAGCACAGTCACTTCCTTTGACTTGCTACAGTCTGGTGAGACATACTGGTTAGGGACATATTTAGGAAGCAGAGATAACATTTGCTAATGTGCTAACTTCCCTAATCTTTGCATGGAAATCTGAGTAGGTAATTGCATTTTTCCCTGAGGGAGGAGATTCCCACAGCAGAAACAGAACGTAAGGGAATTGTGTGTGTGTGTGTGTGTGTGTGTGTGTGTGTGTGTGTCTGTGTGTGTGTGTGTGTGTGTGTGTGTGTGTGTGTATAAGTTTAATTCAGGACACATTACATATAGGCAGGATATCCAGTCATTACTTAGAAAAATAGGTTTGGAACTCAGGATGGACATCTACTTGAACAAAATAATAGATAACATAAATATAATTGTTGTGCCATGTTCTTTGGATATTTCTTTTAATCAAGAGTATAAAATACTGTCAATAGTAATTACTGAGATCCATCAGTTTGTATGATTGAGATACCATGTATTGAATTCTGCCCAAGTTGGGTTATTACTGAAGTGCCAGAAGAATCCTGCTATAACTCTTTCACCCCCAGGAACATAATAGCTCAACTCCCAGGTGCTCTATTCACTAAAGGCAGAAGAGAAATAGTACACTTGGAAGATTATATCTTTCCTCAAAACAACTTCACAAAAATCTCTTTTCAGCCCAGAATTCTCATTCTTCTTTCTGCTTCTAAGTTTGATTATTTCAAAGAATGCCATATAGGAAGAAAAACAAATGAGTTTCATATAAAGGTGGAAATGGAAGAAAAGGATGATGCTGTTCCCACTTACCGGAACTCTGCCTCAGGTCAAGAGGATGCCAAGTCTTGGTAAGGGAAAAAGGAAAAGGGACAAGCTTGCTGGGTGATTAGAATGTGCCAGTTGATTTATTGTAATGCATATCAGTCTTCACCACAACCCTGAGAAGGAAGTATCGCACGTGTGACACATCTAAGGACTACCAGGTGTTGAATCATCGATGTATGTTTTTATTCAATGAAATCATGATTGTCTAAATGGCTTTGCTCTTACAATTACTTCTGGAGTGACAGAGAGGAATGACTCCTTCAACCCAAAGTCAGACCAAATAGTCATTGAGTGCTGAAGCACTGTCTTTGTTTTTCCAGTACCCGGATGAGACCTGCATAGAGCTGGTGCTGAATGAATGCCTCAGTGATGCTATTAAGGGCTATTTTGTGGTGCTGAAGGAACTCAGACTTTGACACGGTTGATCATGTTTTTTTTCTATCTTCTCTATTTACATATTGTATATGTGTTGAAAATTTATCTGATCGCATTCTTAGCTCTGGTTAGGATAACAGAAGAAACAAAACTGCAAACTTAGTTTGTCCTCCAAGGAAAGACAGGCTGGTCAGTGTCCAATTCAAGATTTTAAAATATTTTCTTGTATATTAAATAAAAGCTTCAACTACTGAGAATCATTCTAAAGAAATTGTCTGAAATACAGGATGGGTTTTATGCTTCAAGTTTTTAATTACATTGTTGATAAAGAATAAAACCGAAATGATATCTCTTGAAATTAGAAAATGGATATATAAATTCTGCATACCTATTTAATAATATATTAAACCATAATATAAAATTACCTTTCAATGAATTTTGATATTACGGGAAATCTTTACATTATACTATGAGGGGAAAATGAGGTAATAAAGATATATACAAAATGATAAAAACTATATAAAACTGCCAGGTGCAGTGGCTCATGCCTATAATCCTAGCGGAGATGGAGGTGAGAGGATTGTCAGAGCCCAGAGGTTCAAGAACAGGCTGGACAATTTGACAAGACTTTGTCTGCCTGCACACCTACATTTCCAGCTACTTTGGAAAGCTGGGCAAAAGGATATCCTGAGCCCAGCAGGTTGAGGCTGTGGTGAGATGTGATCATGCCACTCACTCCAGCCTAGGTGACAGAGGGACAGTCTGATTTAATAAATAAATAAACAAATATCAAAAATGTATTCAGAGTTTTAAAAAAATAGAAAAAGAAATCCAAAACATTTAGAGAGGCTTTTTTTGTGTGTATGGTGAGAAGATGAGTGGGGTTTTTTTTTCTCTCTTCTCTATTAGTATTTCCTAATTTTTAAGTAGTGGTTGGCATTACTTTAATAATTTAACAATTATGTAAAGATAAACGTAAAAAAACAAAATTTTCCCAAAATTAATAAGGCAAGCTTTCCTTTCCCTAAACTGAGATCTTCTTCAAGATAAATATATTAGATATCATTGAATCCCCAACACCCAACATAGTGATTGGGAAAGAGTGGCTGCTGAATAAATGATTGTACACTGAACTAATGATGGAAGAAGGATCGCTCAAAAAAAACAAGCAGAGCCTCAGAACCACAAGTCATAAATCACTGAGCTTTAGGAAACAAAGAGAAAAAATAAAGCTATAAGTCTTTAACAGCAAATTCAAATTAAGGTCTTAAGGTTTTCTAAACTTGTTATGTTCCCACCTGTGGTACGTAGATAGCGTTACAAGAAGGAAAGAAAGCGATTTGCTTTTAAGCTTAGTAAATACATTTTTTTTTTTTTGACAAAAGAAAGCCAAGAGATTTTGTTATCACCTTTCAGGTAGTATTTACACAAGATTCTACTTTCTTCGTTAGGTTATAATTTTATAATCAACCAATAACCCTTCAGACCCTGAATTACTAGGTATGTATCTAAGACATGCTACATTCTGTTAAATTCTCTATAACACAAAATGATCTCTCCTCTTATCACACAATATCTAAGTTAAAAAACAACAGGTACTTAGCAGAAATATAGTAAGTCCAATCAAGTGGATGCACTATTTGCATAATTTGATGCACTTTAACCAGCAGATAAGACTAGACAGAACACTCTGCTTTCCAGGTAGAATAAGGATGGCTACTACCCATCTTTATATCTGTGGTTCTATTCTTTCTGTGATCTCCCCTGATGCCATACTATATAAGGACTAAAATTAAGGCCCAATATTATGTGTGCTTTGATATCTGGGGAAAACTGGGTAGCCCTGGAATGGCCTAACCACAAGTTCTTTCCACTTTGCTTTCATGGATAAGGTCTACTAGTCATATAATACTTCTTATCACAGGAAACATGCACAATTTCTGTTTATTCCTGAGTTATGGGCTTCCATTCCCTGCCAGCTACAGAATTATTTGTACAAGTCAAAACCGCTTCCAAGCACCTCAAGTTCTTTGATATTACAAAGCCTGCTGCCCACAGTCCTGGTTGCTTCGTTTCCTGTCCACATGTTCCTAGGTGGCCCTGTACGACATACACTGTCTTGCTCAAGCTATGACATGAATTATTGTTGACCTCAATTGTCCAGTGCCAAGTGTCATCTGTTCAGCCATCCCTATGACCTTAGAATAAAATCTCTCCTCCACAAATAGGGTAAATGGGAACAAATAAGACTGTTCATCAAACATTTGTATAACTAAGAATGCCCTCCAGTGATTATTTATAGGACAGAGAGGATCAGCTTTTTTAAGATTAAAAATCCTGGA